AAAATCTTTAAAAAAAAAAAAGATTTATTTTTCATTTGAAAGAGACAAAGGCGGGGAAGGGCAGAGGAAAAGAATCTTCAAGCAGACTCCCTGCTGAGCATGGAGCCTGACATAGGGTTTGCTCTCACAACCCATGAGATTGTGATGTGAGCCAAAACCAAGAGTCAGATGCCAAACTGACTGAGCCACCGAGGCGCCCCTGCCCTATTTTTGAACTGGGTTATTTGTTTTGTTGTTGTTGAGTTTTAGGAGTTCTATATATTCTGGATATTAATCCCTTCAGGTATATCACTTTCAAATATTTTCTCCCTATCTGTGGGTTATCTTTTTATTCTGTGGATAGTGTCTTTTGATGTACAAAATTTTTAAAATTTTCAGGAAGTCTAATTTCTCTGTTTTTTTCTTTTGTTACTTGTGCCAGATCATTGTTAAATCCAACGGGTGAAGATTTGTCCTATATTTCTTCTAGGAATTATATTGTTTTTGGCCTTATATATAGGTCATAGATCCACTTTGAGTTAATTTCTATATATGATAGTAGGTAAGGGTCCCATATCATTCTTTTACATGTGGATCTCCAGTTTTCCCAGCATCATTTGTGCTTTCCCCAGTGAATGGTCTTGGTAACTTTGTCAAAAATCACTTGACCACATATGCAAGGGTTTATTTCTCGGCTCTCTAATCTATTCCATTCGTCTATAAAAGTCTGTCTTTATACCACTATCCCACTGCTTTGATTACTGTAACACTGAGCAAGTTTTGAAATCAGTGAGTGATTTCAAAGTGTGAGTCCTCCAGTGTTGTTCTTTTTCAAGATTGTTTTGGCTATTTGGAGTACCTTGAGATTTCATCTGAATTCCAGGGTGGATTTTTCTATTTCTGCAATAACATTGCTGAGCTTTTGATAGAGATTGCATTGAATCTATAGATTGCTTTGGTTAATACTGACACTTTTAATAATATTAAGTCTTCCACTGTCCTATCTTCAAGTTCACTGCTTCTTTCTTCTGCCTGCTCAAATCTGCCTTTGAATCCCTCTAGTGAATTTTTCATTTCAGGTATTGTACTTTTTAGCTCCAGTATTTCTTCTTGGTTTCTTTTTAAGTCTTCTGTCTCTTTATTGATATTTCCATTTCAATCATTCATCATTTTCTTGACTTTCTCCACATCTTTCTTTAGTTCTCTGAGCACCTTTAAGATCACTGTTTTAAAATCTTTGTCTAATATATCTGCCATTTTGTCTTTTTCAGGGACAGTTCCCATTGTTTCATTTTTTTCTTTGTTTGGGCTGTACTTTCCTGTTTCTTTGTGTGCTTATGATTTTTCCCCTTGAACACTGAATATTTGAATCTAATAAATGTGGTAAATCTGGATATGAGATTCTCTCCCTTCCTCAGTATTTGTTGTATTTTTATTATTCTTTTCTCTTTCTTAATTGTTTTAGGCTCTCTCTGTGGTAAGGATCAGCCTGAAGTATAAACTTAATGTCTTTCTTAAGTCTTTTCTGAGCCTTTCCTCGGGTATGGGCAGTTACTTTTTAATTATCACCATATAGGAATTGTTTTTGCATTCAAAAACTAGTCTTCAGTGTCTGACTCCCAAAAGGGGAAGAGCAAAAAATGAGCAGGGGGAGTAAAGGTGCAGCTCTTTAAATCCCCTGGAATTTGCTTCAGCCAAAGGAGGAGGGGCTTGCAACAACAGGAGAGGTGCACCAAAGGCTCCCTACCTCTTTATTTACTAGTTGGGACACAGTCATTTCCCCAGCCCTGCCACTGCCCATCTGTTCGGTGGTGGCCACTGTTTCTCTTCTCTCTAGTAGGACCTATGTGACCAGAGAAGTGAATTCAGAAAAAGAGTGGAAACAGGATTTTCAGAAGTTATTATCCCTCTCTCCTTGCTTTAAAGACAACTGTAAGATAAAACAAAACAAAAATTCTGCATGAAGAATTTGAGGAAACATTTATGGTTTGGTTTTGTTGTTGCTGTGTTGTTATTTACCATCTCAGATTATGATCTTATGAACAAAGTAAGCAAATGACATTTAATGTGTTTTTATATTCTTAATTGACATAATAACTTCAAAATGGATCAAATAAAATGAATGTTGCATATATTACATTTTCCCAAAATTCCTCTCAAATTTTTTTCCTTAGATTCTAAATTCCTAAATTTTGGCATTTTTATTCTGCTAACCCAGATACCTAAGGGTCTTATTAGCACTGTTTTGTTCCTTTGGTTTTGAATATGCCTTTCAATTCTATGGGAGTCACATTTTTCAATCCTATTTCTGGCTACAAAGGCCACAGTATAAAGCACTATAACCTTTAAGAATTATTAGTGGTGAATTTAGATTCTCAGATAGGATTTTTATCTCTACTTTCATGATGAACCTATTAATTACTTAGAGTAAGTGACTTCAGTTTCTTGTATGACAGTTTATTTGTCTATGAATGAAACCAAATCACAGTTGTTCCCCTTTGGTACTTTACAGCTACATTTATCTATGGTGACTTTCTCAGTCATGTAACAGCTTTTTTATTTATTTTTATTTTTTTATTTTTATTTTTTTAAAGATTTTATTTATTTGCGAGAGAGAGAATGAGAGGCAGAGAGCCTGAGAGGGAGGAGGGTCAGAGGGAGAAGCAGACTCCCTGCCGAGCAGGGAGCCCGATGTGGGACTTGATCCCGGGACTCCAGGATCATGACCTGAGCCGAAGGCAGTCGCTTAACCAACTGAGCCACCCAGGCGCCCCTGTAACAGCTTTTTTATAAATGTGCAAATATTTTCCATTTTGAGGGAAACAACAGTTTCTGTGTATACAAGCAATAAGGGTGATATTTTAAACAAAGGGTTCCCCTCACAATCCTACAAATATGGAAACACAATATTAATTTATTTGGTAATTAACATTTACCTGTGCCACACTGGTATTGGTTGCTCCTCCTGCCAGCTCATGTATGGCAGAAAATCTACATCTTCTTTGGCAATAAGTTCCAAAATATTTGGAATATTAGGAGAAGGTGACTCCTTACCATCCTATATTGAATCATAATTAGGTAAAAACAAAACAGACATTATCAAATTCAGTGATTACTATACATTCTAAAGCCTAGTGAATCCTTAGTTTGAAATATGTGTGGGTGTCAGATTAGATTGTTTGTCCTGGGCCACAAGGGAGGGAGAAAGAGTCTAAAAACACAAGTTTGCTCAGTTGAGTGGCTTTCCTTTTTATTGAGCTGGGTGTGGGAGCTGTGGTAAGTGCCTTCTGTGGGTTTTCCTTTTAAGCTTATGAAAGAGAAAGGGCCTCTCACAGGGTAAGGGAAGCTCAAGCCCTTTCTATTTGTTGAGGGTCTTGCATTAGTAAAAGATGAGAAACGCCAAAATACAGTAAAATCACAGTGTATTTCAGAAATACACATATAACTAAGTAATAATTTATAACATTAAAAATATAACATATGTGACCCACTTAGAGAGATGATAATGAGCCCTTCATGAACGTGAGGCCCTGGTTTGATGGTCCTCCCTGCCTCTCCCCTCCCTGCTCTTCACAAGCCATGAATGTAGATATTGTCAGTAACAGTCAGAGCAAGAGTAATTTTCTTAATATGTAAATAAAAATGAAATAACCATGAATTAACAAATACATACCCTTTTCTCAACTGCCACAAAGCTTGTAAATTGTGTTATGAGAGAGTATTCTTTACTGAGTTTAATAATCAGAGATTTTAAGATTTGCTTCTTCATCTAAAATACAATCAAACAAATGAAGTCACATCTTATTTTATTTTTCACTGTTTAGCTATGTATGACCAATAAAACAATTATTAAATAATCAACAAATGTTTTTCTATAAAATAAACCATTTTATAATTAGTATTTCAAATTAAATTGAATCAATTGCCCTGTCTAAATGTCTAGAGTAGGTGACTCAACATTCTCTGAAAAATAGGATCAAGTGACTGGCTAAGTCATATAAAAAAAATTAATATTTATATAACTCTTTATGGTTACAAAGAACTCTCACTCTCAAGTGTGGTGAGTTTCTGCATTCTTTTACAGACAGTCCATGCCTCCCATTTTAAAGATGAAGAATCCAAGGTGTGGAGATGTGGAGTGACTTGTTCAAAACCATTTGGTGGCAGGGCTGGTCAGTTGCCTCCAGAGATAAAAAGGCCCTAAGTAAGGCACCTGGGTGGCTCAGTTGGTTAAGCATCTTGGTTTCAGCTTGGGTCATGGTCCCAGGGTCCTGGGATTGAGTCTCACATTGGGCTCCCTGCTCAGTGGGGAGTCTGCTTCTCCCTCTACCCTTTCCCCAGTTTGTAATCTCTCTCTCTCTCTCAAATAAATAAATAAAATTAAAAAAAAAAAGGCCTTAAGTAAAACAGGACACAAGGCTGCTAATCCAAGGGCAGCAAAGGAGTACAATGAAAACACAAGGCCATCTATCACCTGCTGTGACCGCATTAACAGCCAGGGGAGGCATTCTGGTTCCTTCTTTCTGGGAGGGCACTGAGCACCACTGCTCCTAAGCTCATTTAAGTTCACAGCTACAGAGGCACCAGGCCATCAGGTGGGCTGGCTGAGTGGGACCCCCTGCCGGGGGCCTCATCAGGTCAGTGAAGAAGGAGCAGGGTGGGCTTTGGCTCCACTGTGTGTTTTTAGGCTGGTCACCCGCCTGTCCTGCACCTGGGCTCCTTCATCACTAAGATGAGAATACCAATGCCTACAGTGTTTGAGATCTGAGGTGATATTTATGACAGGCACTCAGCAAACATTCTCAGAGCCCTCCTCTGGCCTCTTTCTGATGAGTAAAATGATCACAGAATTCTTAGGAAACCCATGACATCTGTTCTTTCATTAATTCATTCAACAGACATTTACTGAGCACCCTGCACCCCAGGCGCAGAAAGTACAGATACAATGATGAATGCCCCCATACCATGTTTCTCCATCCAACTATCCTCACTTTACATTTCCATGGATAAATCAATTTAAGAAGGATGAAGAACAATGAAAAGAGCAAACCTCATGATTTGTTTCATTTTCATGGAGAATGCCATCTTCATAATCTCGGATCAGAGCTCGTGCTGTCAGCTTGTGGATCATCTGTGTTTAAGCAGCAAAGGGGAAAAAAGATTCAATGGCTTCTAATTAAAGTCTTACTTAGAAAACCACTGTTAAAATTGAGGTATAATAGTACATACAATAAAATTCACCCCTTTTACGTGTTTAGTTTGATGAGTTGTAACAAATGTATACAGTTGTGTGACCACCACTGAAATAAAGATACAGAAGAGTTCCTTCACTTTCAAAAGTGAAGGGCACTCCTCATGCCCCTTGCTGTCACCTCCAGCCCCTGGCACCCACTCATCTGTTTTCTATGCCTACAGTTTTGCTTCTTCTATAAAAGGGCATTTTTGTCAATTCAATTTATTTCAAAAATTTTAAACTGTTCTTCTACTGTAGGAAGAGTCAGCTTAGTGTTGTGATGCCTAACTGTGAATGTGACCTCCACTCTGAAGGGCAGGGGCAGCAAAACATGCCCTGGGAAGTGCAAGGTGAAGGACTGCCCCCTTCCTCTCCAATGACTAACAAACACAACCGATTTTAATAGCAATGTCTGCTTACAATGATATTTCTATCATTTTGTTATCAATAAGGCCACAATTCACAGAGGAAGTACAACTATAAAAACTGCAATTTTATGGAAAATGACCTCTTCCTAGGTAAAATCCTTTTACTTATTAATTTCCCCCTTAGATTCAATTTTTAAAACAATATGAAGATTCCCTTAAGTTCTAGACATATATCACTGGCAAATAGTAAGTTATAATTATTGATTCAGGGCCAAAAAGTAAGCCATATTTTATTAGAAAAAAGAAAAACAAAAAATCTGCAATGTCTGGGAAATAGTTTATCTGGCCATGCAAATACTCCCATGAATAAAGCTACATATATATAGTATAGATAGGTTAGGGACTTTCCAGGTCTGACTCTAATAGATTAAGTACTAATGCAAATACTACAAATTTTTTGGTGATAATTAATTTGCTTTTAATCCAAAAGTAGAAATAACAAAGACATTCTCAGTATATGTTTACTCTTAGTTCAGTACTGTTATACCTAATATTTCAAAATAACACAGGTTGATCTGTGGCCCTTAATTTTTATCATGTCACAAACAACTTCGAGAACCTCCCTAAAAAATGTTCACATATAAAATACCAAATTTAATTGCAGTTAGTCATATCCACTGATGCCCATATGGATACACCTAGACCCAAGAACACCAGAAGAACTGTTGCATCAGAAACTGAATGAAAGTGTCCTCGTTTGTACAGATAACAATCCTCCATATCATATTGTGTACTGAAGTGTCAGAACAGAAAAACAAGAACAACAAAGGAAGTACATGGAGCATTAGATATGAAAATATAAAATTATTACAACTTTCAAAGAGTGAGTTCATAGTTAAAGTTTTGAATCTTACAGTTCCAGTTGTCTTCTGAAGTTCGGTAGTTGATACTACTGTAGAAAATTCTTTCTCTTGAATCAATGCACAAAGAGTTGCCTGAAATGGGGGTGGGGTGGGGTGGAATCCCTTATTAGCTTTTTCACTCCATAGTGTCTCAGTTAGTTTCACTGTGATTTTCTCTTTCCTTTTAATGGAAATTAAAAGGCTCCCCAGTATCCCTAGTTAAATAACCATTAGGTTTCCAGAAGGAGAAAATTTGCCAGCATATTATGATTTGAGGGGGGAGAGGGAAGAAAAGAGAAAGAAAAGAAAAAGAAAACTGTTGGCAACATACGTAGCTCTTCCCATAGTAAAACAAGCTCTGTGGTTCCTTACCTGTGTACAATGAGGAATAAATCCATAGACAAGGAGTCGCTCATTGTGGAACAAGGACTGCACCTGGGCTGGAGCCAGCAGAGGCTCAGGTGCATCTGTACTTAGTTGCTGCCATTTGACGGAGACAGAGTGGCAACTTGGAGAATGTAACCTAGTCATTTGGTCTTCTATCTATAAGAGATAAATTATTTCTCTTTCAATGTTATGTCCAGAAAATAGTTACTTAACACTGAAAATAATTTTACATTCTATCTTTTGGGATTTGTAGCTCTTTGCTTTTGTTTTTGTTTTTCTCCTTCCTGCTCAGGGTACTTTTTCAAAAAGATTTTAAATAGAATTCTTAATAATAGCATTGGCACATAATTTAATACGTAAGACATCCCCATATTCCATTAGTTAATTACTAATATACAACTCTGACAGGGAGTAGATTCCAGTTATAAAAATTAATCCTATAAAGGACTTGAATAGACATTTCTCCAAAGAAGATATATAAATGGCCAATGAACACATGAAAAGATATTCAACATTACTAGTCATTAGGGAAATGCAAATCAGAACCCCAATGGGACACCCTATGATGGTTATTATAAAACAAAAACCCAAACCAGAAAACAAGTGCTATCAATTATGTAGAAAAATTGGAACCCTAGTACATTGCTCATGGGAATGTAAAATGGTGCAGCCACTGTGAACAACAGTATAACAGTTCCTAAAAAACTAAACACAGAATTGCCATATGATCCAGAAATTCCACTTCTGTTATATACCTAAAATAACTGAAATCAGACCTGAATACTTGCTTATATGCCAATACATGATCATAGCAGCATAATTCACAACCACTAAAAGGTAGAAACGACCCAAATATCTATCAACAAATGAATGGATAAACAAAATGTGGTATGTGAATACAATGAAATATTATTCAGCCTTTAAAAAGGAAGAAAATTCTGACACCTGCCACAACATGGATAGACCTTGAAAACATTATACCAAATGAAACAAGACAGGCACAAAAGGACACATATTGTATGATTCTGCTTTCATGAAGTATCTAAAGTAGTCAAATTCATAGAGACAGAAAGTAGAATGGTAGTTGCCAGGGACTGGGGAGAGGGTGGAATGGGGAGTTGTTGTTTAATGAGTAGAGTTCCTGTTTGGGATGATGCAAGGTTCTGGAGATGGATGGTGGTGATGACTGCACAACATTGCGAATGTACCTTTAAATATTATTATTTTTTTAAGATTTTATTCATTTATGACAGAGAGAGCACGAGTAGGAGGTAGGGGCAGTGGGAGAGGGAGAAGCAGACTCCCCACCATGCAGGGAGCTTGATGCAGGGCTCGATCCCAGGACCCTGGGATCATGACCTGAGCCAAAGGCAGATGCCCAACTGACTGAGCCACCCAGGCTCCCCTAATGCACCTTAATGCCACTGAATGTCACTTACAAATAGTTAAAATGGTAAATTTTATGCATATTTTGCCACAATAGCATATTAACTCTAACATGTATAATACTTCACTTTTAAAAAACCCCTCCATGACACTTTATAAAGAAGAAATCAAACTATTAGCTAGGAGAATGACCCAATTAAGGAGAATGTGTTCCTGCTAGGTGCGAGACAGACAGTAACTAAGTAACTATGCTTTCGGTACCTTTGTCCGATTTTCCTAGGTCCCCTTCCCACTAATGAAAATGCAGAAGTTACTGGCACTAGATGTGCAAGAAGATAATATTTCCACATATAAGCATGAAACTAGAAATAAGATGTTTGAAAAACGTACCTGTTTTTTCCAACTATGTTTGGATTTTGAGTTAAAATACTCAAATACTCCAGCACCGTACTGGGACAAAGTCCTTAAGATATGACGATTTGCTGTAGAACTGATCACATTTTACATGTTTTAATTTTCAAGAAATTTTAGAAACATTTTTGAATTTCATGTAGTTAACAATGTTGACATAGCTCGAAACTCAATAGAAGAGACAGTACATGCAGAACTCTCTGTAGTTGAGGTTAAAGAGATAAAACTCAGGACGGACAGTATAAAACATCTGAAGGTTTGGGTAATTTAAGCTCCCACATATCAGAGAACTCATTTCTTTTTCACAATAGAAAAAAAAGAGCAGAAATTCTTGACTCCTGGCTTACCAAAGGACGGAGTAGATGATTCCGAAAAACCTCCAAAAAGTTACCAGAATACTGAAAAAAATATCAACCTACTTTCAATGAGTGTCAGTTACCCAAATTTGATCCCAAAGGCCAAGAACTGGCAGAGTTAATAAACTGAAAATATGTGCATCTAGATAGCAAAGGGGATAAAGAAGCCTCTTTCTAGCAAAGATAAGCTTTGCTACTTAAATGACAAGGTCCTATTGAATTTCTCTCAATAATTCTAAACCTATTAAGAAAGCCTTTCTTAGAGAGGATCCTCCTGAAATAGTAAAGACACAATTATTTTTCAGGAAAAGAGCTTAAGAAAGTTATTTCTGAAAATTTCTTAGCCTATTGATTAAAGATTGGATTTGTCTTTAGTCTTCACAATAAATTGGTGGTGATTACAACACCAATTAGATAATCCCCCTAAGCTGGAGTTTGTATTTTATCGATTTCATCGGCTACTGAGGCTGCTTGGAATCTATTCTTGCTCCTGCTGTGTGGAGCTAAGAGGAGAGTTTGTGACAACAGGCAGGATAGGCTCTACCCCTGGAGAACTCACATATTGCTAGAGTTTGTGAATACAAATGAGCATGTATAAAATGAGGCAGAAACATTTAGAAAGATCCTAAAACCTGACAGAAAATCAGTAAAAATTTCAGCTCCCTCAGGCTGGGTCGTGTCAAAGCACAAAGTCATCCCCCAAAGGAGGTTCATGTCCATTCACCCCCATCACAGTACCCCTCTTATTTCCTTCCTGGCACTTAGCAAAACCCATCTCCCCTTTCAGCTTATTGGATTGCTTGCGGCCTGTCTCCCTATACACAGCACCGTGGTCCAGCACCAAGGAGTGTCTGTTTCATGACAGGCTCTCACCAAAGAAGGAATCAACAGGGCCCAGGATCTTCTGCACTGAGGTCAATCCATAACCCTGGCACAGCCTCTGATACTTGGTCAGGGGAGCAGGGGGGTGTTGCTGTGACCAGGAAGATAGAACAGGGCACTGACTCAGGCAGGGAGGGGGCCACATCCCTGCAGCAGGGTAGGGCCAGCCACCCCATGTCCACAAGTTAATCAGGTAAAGCCCATTTAGGAGCAATTCCTGGGGGAGTCCATTGTGGGCTGGATAAATTTCCTGGTTGGTCTGTGGTGTCCTGTTAGGCCTCAGATTAGAGAAGAGGACCAGGAGCTATTACTGAGGAGGGGCAGAGAGAGGGAAAGAGCCCTCTGGGCAGGCAGGTCTGGCTTGGGTACAGCAGGGAGGGCCCTCAAGGGGTGTGGAGGGTCCCAGCTCCTGTAGCTCATAGCTGAGGCCTGAAAAGAACCCTTAGCCCAGGACAGCACAGTGGTCCCAGAGACACCAATAGCTACCACTCCCACCTCTACCCATACACCCATGTTGAGGGGCTGCCCTGCTCCATGCACTGCCTCAGAATAGGGAGCCCTGGTTATCACTTGCCAGGATGGTGACTATTTAGGGGAGAGTCCAGGGAGCCGAGGGTGCAGGCATGCTCTGTGCAAATACCAGTCTGGCCCCTTCTGTTTGGTGTTTTCCTTATGTTTACACCATATGCCTCAGTTCAATCCAAAGAAGCTAACTATAACTGGGTAGGGTGTTCATTCCAACAATCATGGGAGCCTAGCCTCCTGAGAGAAAGATCCTATGTCCATCACAGGGTTTGAAAATGCAAATGTGCCCAGCCACCAGAAAGATGTGAAGGAGCTAGGAGCCTGGGTGGGGCCCACCCAAAGCAGTGGCCCTTAGCCCTGGTCAGGAACTGCCAGGGAAGGGGGTGTGCCTGGCATTGCCAGATCTTTAGGCTTCTCAGGATAGGTTGGAAGTTTGGATTTTTAAGCAAAAAAAAAAAAAATCTAACATGGATTTGGTGCTTGCCAAGTGTTCTTAAGTACTTTTTTTTTTCCTAGCAGTGCTGGGTGTGGTCTTCCTTACACCACATTTCCCTCACCCCACTGCAGGGCTGGGACTTAAGTACTTTTTATATATGAGCTCATTTAATCCTCAGAGCAAACCTATTAATCCTATTATATTTTCATTATCATCTTCATTTTATAGACAGGAGGTTAAACAACTTGCCCAGAGCTCTGTAACTCTATGCTAAACTGCTTCCATAGACTGTTGCCAACTTCAGAACTTCTAAAAATCCTGTGCAGGCCAACAAAGAAAACCTACCCACAGGCTGCCTTTTTCCCCCACAGTGTTCACTGTCTGACTAGATCTCTTGCACTTACCCGATACCACAGGAGAACAGCCTGGTGTGCCGGACATTTCTTTTCACAAGCTGCAATGTCAGGCTCTCATTCTGGAGGTGGCCATCAGATATAAGGAGAATGCTCCGTAAGCCTTGAGAAGGGTACAGTAGATTTAAATATCGGAGCGTTTTCCAGAAGTCTGTATTTCCCATGGTAGGTGTAGCAGACTGGAGGAAATGAAGTGAAAGGTTATTCATTCCTTTTGGGTAGAGTCACCATTACCTGTAATCATTTACTGAAGCATGTCTCAATGATGGTTTAGAGATATCATCACTGAAAAGATTTTTTTTTAATTACACATTTGTGGAACAACTATGCTTATATCCTGTTAGTTTATTTCACATCACACAGTAACTATAATATTATCGGTTAACACCTATTTGATTTTTTTATGGTTTTCCTGGGTTTGCTGGCCTGGAATGAGATGGCAACTAGTCATTCTCAGCATGTGCCATTTTAAGAAAAAGAAAAAAAAGAAACAGAAGAAAACATTCCAACACTGTTGATGCCGGTTGTATTTAGGTGGCAGAACTGTGGGTGATTTTTTTTCTTTCTACCCTTCTTAATTTCTAATTTTTCTTTAATGAGTTTATATCGCTTTTATTAATAATAATGATAATAAAAGGGCCCCATTGACATACAAAAACTGAAGGACTAGGGGTGTTCTATTAGTGGTCTTGGGGAGAATAAGTCCAGACAATACCATTAAAACTTGATAGGAAAAGACCCAAGAGATGAAGGAAGGTTCTTTTACTCACCATAATGAACTCTGTTGGTGTATTATTGCTTGTGATGTACTTAGGATATGAAAATAATTCCTTGTAACCTGTGTGATAAGATTGGCGTGAGGTGCAGCTATTAAATATTCACTTTATTGACCACTAACAATCATGTTTGATAGTTTAACATATTAAAAAAACACTTCACCACAGTATTCCTTTAAATAATTAGTGCATTGAAACTATGCACTTTACTGTGTAAAATGTTCTGAGTAAAATTACATGTGTACACCTTTGTTCTGTAGCGGATCGCTCATGCAAAGTAAGATGTGGGGTGTCACAGTAGCACAGACCGCCTGGCCACCGGAGGGACACATTCTCTTTCCAGGCGCTTGGTACCCCAGCCTTACTTGACCTCTGCCTCCGACAGCAGCAGACCCTAGCTCCTTCGTAAAAGGGCTCAGTCTTCTGCTGAATGGCACAGAAGAATCAATAGGACACGACTGTCCCCTCATTCTACTCCGTTCCTTCTCTCATTCCTAAAGTATCTTCTTCTGGTGGCTGAGATGTCCCCGGGCCCTCACCTGGAGGATGGTATTACTTTTCCTCTAAAAGGGCTGATCTGATGCTTCCTGAAACCTTATAGATTTTCTACTACTGTGCTGATTTCAGGTGTTCTGTCCATATCCTTGGGACCCTCATACATGTTAAACCAAGGGTCTTGCATTTGGTTCAGCTGGTGGTAACCTAGTAATACTTATACAGCACTTGCTCTATAACAGGCACTGTTCTAAATCCTTTACATGCACCAGCTCAGTCCTTACAACAACACTATGAGGTAGGAACTCTTACTCTTATATTACAGATGAGGAAAAGTTCAATTTGCCCAAGGTGACATCTAGAGCTAGTAAGTGGTAGAGCTGGAATCTGAGTCTAGGGACCTAGCTCGAGTGTTCTGGTTCTTGAACTCCATGCTATGCTACCTCTTACTCCACAGATGAGGTCAGGGTACGAATAGCCATCAGCTCTACACTAATATGAAGGAGGAAGCACACTTTGGACTGGGGCCGAAGAGCGCTCACCTGTGCCAAACTTGACAATGTTGATCTTTTGCTTCCTACCCATCAAGGACAGAGCATATAAGGCAATTTGCTTGGCTTGCAAGAATGTTGCACCCTCCATGGAATTGGAGCAATCGAGACAAATAATCACTTCACTGTTCTCGGCTAGGTCAGAGAGTGTGATATCGAGATCGGGTTGAAAAACAAGCATGCAGGCCTAAAAAAAGAAAAAAGGTGCTGGGTTGATGTTTATCATAACTTAACCTGGTCTGGCTTGTTAATATTGGTATAGGCGTGCCTCTGAGATACTGCTGGTTCAGTTCCAGACCACCACAGTAAAGCAGCTATTGCAAAAAAAGTGAGTTAAATAAATTTTTTGGATTCCCAGAACACATAAAAGTTATGTTTACACTATACTGTAGTCTATTACATGTGCGATAGCATTTTATCTAAAAAAATGTACATACCTCAATTAAAAAATGCCTTGCTGCTAAAAAATGCTAATCATCACCCGAGCTTTCAGTAAGTCATAATGTTTTTGCTGGTGGGGGGGGGTCCCACCTTGATGCTGACGGCTGCTGCCTGATCAGGGTGGTGGTTGCTGAAGGCTGGGGTGGCTGCAGCAGTTTCTTAAAATAAGACAACACTAAAGTTTGCCACATCAATTGACTCTTCCTTTCACAAACAATTTCTCTGTAGCATGTGATGCTGTTTGATAGCGTTTCACTCACAGTAGAGCTTCTTTCAAAATTGAAGTCGTTCCTCTCAAACCCTGCTGTTGCTTTGTCAAGTAAGTCTATGTAACAGTCTTTAGAACCCTTTGTTGTTATTTCAACAGTCTTCAACAGAATTACCAAAATGTGACACAGAGACATGAGGTGAGAAAATGCCATTGGAAAAATGGCACCAAAGGACTTGCCACAGACTTTCAGTTTGTAAAAAACATAGTACCTGTAAAGCATGATACAACATAGCACAATAAAACAAGTATGCTTATACTACTTTATGTGCCAAAAGACAACAAAATTTGAATCCAAAACCTACCCACACAATCTTTCTAAATGATGGACATGTAACTGGGCTAGAGTAACAGAGAATAAAGAGTGGCCCACTAAAAACTGATGAAACCCCCCTAGGCTCAGGCACACTGCTTCTCTCTAGATCTCAGACTCTAATGGGAATGTGTCACTTGCCAGTGTGTTCCAGATATTGGCCTATAGTTTTCTTATAGTATCCTACAATTTGCCTGAATTTGTTTATTAGTTCTAACAGTTTTTTAGTGGAGTCTTTAGGGTTTTCTATATATGAGATCATGTTATCTGCAAACCGAGATGATTTCACTTTTTCCTTTCCATTTGCATGCCTTTCATTTCTTTTTCTTGCCTAATTGTTTTAGCTAGGACTTCCAGTACTACAGTGAATAGGAATGGTGAGAGTGGGCACTCTTACTTCTGATTTTAGAGAAAAAGCTCTATTTTTCACCATTGAGTATGATGTTAGCTGTGGGTTTGTCATATATGGCCTTTATTATGCTGAGGCATGTTCCCTTTCTACTCAGTTTGTTCAGAGCTTTCATCATGAAAGGGTGTTGAATTTTTCAAACAGTTCTTCTGCATCTATTGACAGGATATTTTATTTTATTTTTTCCTGATGTATACTTGACACACAATGTTATATTACTTTCCTGTGTACAGTACGGCAATTTGACAAGTTTATTTGTTATGCTGTGCTCACCACAAGTATAGCTACCATCTGTCACCACATGCTATTACAATAGAATTGACTATACTCTCTATGCTGTACCTTTTATTCCCATGGCTCATTCATTCCACAACTAGAAGCTTGTGTTTCTCTAGCATTCTTTCACTTTAAGAACTCCCTTTACCATTTCTCATAAGGCAGGACCAGTGGTGATGAATTCCCTTAGTTTTTGTTTGGGAATGTATCTCTCCTTCATTTCTGAAGGGCAGTTTTGCTGGGTTTATGCTATATTGTGATTTATAAGAAATACGTATTTGGTGTTTGCCCACTGTTCCTGGCTTACATCTCCCCAAACCCTTGGAATTTCCTAAGTGATGAGAGTGATAAAGGTGTCTTTTGTTATGTTAATGAGGCAAGTTTTGGATGCCGCCTAAGAAGGGGGGCTGGTTGCCAGGAGAATCAACCATGTGACCAGAGACTTAGAACTTTCAGTTCTGCCCCCAGACTTCTGGAAGGGGAGTGGGGCTGGAGACTGAATCAATTGCCAATAGCCAATGATTTTAATCAATCATGCTGGTGTAATGAAGTCACCATAAAAACCCAAAAGCATGGGCTTCGGAGAGCTTCCACATTGGGGAACACATGGAGATGTGGAAGAGTGATGTGCCTGAAGAGGGAATGGAAGCTCTGCACCCTTTCCTCCGACTTTGCCCTATGTATCTCTTCCATCTGGCTATGCCTGAGTTACATGCTTTTGTAATAAACTGGTTCTAGTAAGTAAAATGTTTCTCTGAGTTCTGTGAGCTGCTCTAGCAAGTTAATCAAAACTGAGGAAGGGATTGTGGGAATCTCTGATTTATAGCTAGTTGGTCAGAAGTAAGGTAACATCCTGGACTTAGGGAAACCCCCCTCTTCCCCTTGGAATTGCGTCCAGGAACCCAAAAGAGTAGTATTCTTGGTTGGCAGTTTTTCCTTTCAGCACTTTGAATACATCATCCCACTCCCTCCTGACCTCATGGTTTCTGCAGAAAAGTCTGCTGATAGCCCTATGGGGGGTTCCCTTATATGTGATGAGCCATTCTTCTCTTGCTGCTTTCAAAATTCTCTCCTTGTCCTTGATTTTTAATGTTTGGATTATAATGTGTTTTGGAGTAATCATCTTTCAACTGATCTTGCTTGGGGTCCTTTGAACTGCCTGCACCTGGATGTCCATCTTTCTCAAGATTTCAGAAAATTTTAGATATTCTTTCTTTCTTTTTTTTTTTTAAGATTTTATTTATTTATTTGACAGAGAGAGAGATAGTGAGAGAGGAAACTCAAGCAGGGGGAGTGGGAGAAGGAGAAGCAGGCTCCCTGCTTGGCTCAATGATGCGGGGCTCAATCCCAGGACCCTGGGATCATGACCCGAGCCAAAGGCAGATGCTTAACAACTAAGCCACCCAGGCGCCCCTAGCTATTATTTCTTTAAATAATATTTCTGCCCTTTTCTCTCCTTTCCTGGGATGCCTGTGATACAAATGTTCATTTGCTTTATGGTGCTCCATAATTCATGTAGGCTTTCTTCACTCTTTTTCATTCTTTTTCTTTTTGTTCCTCTAACTTCAAATGTCTGTCTTAATTCTTTCTTCTGCATGATCAAGTCAGTTGTTGAAGCTCTGTCTTGAATTTTTCAGTCTGTCATTGTATTCTTCAGCTCCAGACTTTGTTTGGTTCTGTTTTATGATTTGTATTTCTTTATTAAACTTCTCATTTTGTTCATGTGTTGTTCTCCTAATTTCATTTAGTTGTTTTTCCATGTTCTCTTATATTATATTGGGTTTCCTTAAGATGATTATTTTGAATTGTCAGGCAAATCATAGATCTCCATTTCTTTGGGGTCAGTTACAGGAGCTTTATTAGTTTCCCTTGGTGGTGTAATGTTTGCCTAATTCTTCATGATCCACATAAACCTTGCATTGGTATCTGTGCACCTGAAGGAGCAAACACAGACTAATTTTTACAGACTAGTGTGGCAGGCTCCCTGGCTGATGGGATTACCTCTGGAATCATAGTTGTGCAGGATTGAAGTCAATTTCAAGACTGTTGTTGGGTCTATGGTGTGGTCTGCAGTTGACATTCTTGTTACCAGGGGTCAGACAGGTGTGGATCATGTCTGGTCCCTGGGTGGCTGGGATTGCTTCAGTACCTTGTTCAGTAGGGTAGCCTGGGACAAGATGCCACTTCACAATCCACAGTTCCTCAGTCAGCAGACCTATTACCAGGTGTGTGGATGGGTGCAGCTTCCACTAGGTCCCTGAGAAGGCTCCTGCCTAGTTGATGGATGAGTCCCTGGGAGGGCAAGATTGACCCTGGACTACAGGTTGAGAGGAGCTGGAACTAAGCTGCAGAACTGTTTCAGGTTTCACAGCCACAACTGAGATCTGCAGACCTGGCTCTAAATGTGCAGATGATGATGTCTCCCATGAGGTCTCCGGGTAGGTTGAGTGGTCTCTGATCATGGCTGGAGGGGCTGAAGCAGAATATAGGGCCCTTTCTGGAGCTCCCAAGGTGCAGACATGAGTATCCAACAGGTCCTATGCCAATGGGACTGCTCGTGGACTGCAGCTAGGAGGGGGCTAGAGCTGAGAATAGGGCCCTTTCAGAATCTTCAGGGTTGTAGATGGAAGTGTCTCCTGCTGGGTCCCTGGAATCACGGGTCTGCTTATAGATTATGACTGTTAGGAGGCTGGAGCCAAGTAGAGGGTGCTTTCGGGATATCTGGGGGCACAGATGGTGTCTGCAGCCAGGACCATGGTCAGCAAGTCAGCTGCCTGGGGATAAACCTGCCTTCTCAAAATGGTTCTCTTTAGTCTTGGGCTGCACTGGGGTTTCAAAATGTCCTAACTGGACCCCAAAACTCCCACATGGCACTTTGCCTGTGGATAGATGTCATATAATTGTTATTGGGGGAGGATACATGTAAAGGACATCTTGTTTGGCCATCTTGCTGATGTCACTCTCAATTTTTATTCTAATATGAAGAGACTCCTCATCATAGACACACAAATTGTCTTATGGCCATAAATAATTTTGTATCTACTTTTACAGTATTAATATTTTAAAACTATAAAAATATACAGACTAACCAGTGTAATGTCTGAAGGCATATTTTGGTTTTGGTGGGGATTAAGGTAGAAACTACAGTCATAGAGAAACATGCCACATGAGGGACTTGGTTGAAACCTCATAAGTTTGTCATGCCTGATTTCATAAGTATTTTTAGTTGTAAAATCTTGGGGTGGTGAGGCCGCCTGGGTGGCTCAGTTGGTTGGGCGACTGCCTTCGGCTCAGGTCATGATCCTGGAGTCCCGGGATCGAGTCCCGCATCGGGCTCCCTGCTCGGCAGGGAGTCTGCTTCTTCCTCTGACCCTCTTCCCTCTCGTGCTCTCTCTCTCTCATTCTCTCTCTCTCAAATAAATAAATAAAATCTTTAAAAAAAAAAAAAAATCTTGGGGTGGTGAGAGCTCATTTTGTAATGCTAGTTTTTCAGAACTATCAGTAATTTCCAAATTTAATTAATCTATTCTGAAATATTTTTTCAATAGTGTCTCCCATTTTTTTTTTTTAAGATTTTATTTATTTATTTGAGACAGAGAGAATGAGATACAGAGAGCATGAGAGGGAGGAGCGTCAGAGGGAGAAGCAGACTCCCCGCCGAGCAGGGAGCCCGATGCGGGACTCGATCCCGGGACTCCAGGATCATGACCTGAGCCGAAGGCAGTCGCTTAACCAATTGAGCCACCCAGGCGCCCAGTGTCTCCCATTTTTAAGTAAGAAGGACTATACCTCACTTTCTTTTTCTGGATGTCTTTCAACCCACATTCTTGGGGGATATGCGTCAGACAAACCAATGTGAAGAGAGAATCCATCACTGTCTAAGGAGCTATCTTCCATGGTGCTAATTACAGCTTTGCAGTCTGTGCGCTACAAAACAAACAACAATGACAACATAGTAAATAATGGAATAATGCCATATGATCAATTTGCAGTTACCTGTCAGTGGCAAACCCTTGCATAATTTATCTAACTCCATCAAGAATCAACAAGGTAGTAATAAATTCAAAATTATGAAATTTTTAGAAGTCATGACCATTATCATATCAGTTACCCTCCTGAAATGCTAAGGTTGATGTACACAGACCAATTGAGAAGTCTGAGACAGTTTCAAATCCTGGATCCAAAGATTATAGATCTATGTTTTCAGGTAGAACTATCTGGATATAGCAGTAAGTACACTAGAACTTAGTGTAGTAAAAATAGTAAAATAGTAAAAATAGAAAATAGTAAAAATAGAAAATTCAATAGAAATCTTATAATTATGCCTTATTTTTAAATTAAGTTTTCATAAATATAAAATAACTTTTGAAAATGTGGATGATAAGCTTTAAAACAATAAAGGCAATATGATAGATTGTAAAATGGCCATAAAGTCTTTCTTTTTCTTTTAAAGATTTTATTTATTTATTTGAGACAGAGAGAATGAGATACAGAGAGCATGAGAGGGAGGAGCGTCAGAGGGAGAAGCAGACTCCCCGCCGAGCAGGGAGCCCGATGCGGGACTCGATCCCGGGACTCCAGGATCATGACCTGAGCTGAAGGCAGTCGCTTAACCAACTGAGCCACCCAGGCGCCCTGGCCATAAAGTCTTTCCATCCCTGTGTGCTTGCCCCTTTGCAATGTGACTTTGCATCTCTTCCCGTCAGGAGGTAGCACCTATTTCTCTGCCCTTGAACCCAAAGTTGGCCAATGTGACTTGCTTTGGTCAATCGGATATTGGCAGATGTGATGCAAGAGGCTTGGAAAACGTTGGTGCAATGGGGCTTGCCTTCCTCTGTTGCTACTGAGAACTTTTCCACTAACTATATGAATGAACCTGAGCTAACCTGCTGGATGAAGAGAGACATGGTTATCACACCAACTGACACCAGGCCAACTGCCAGGTATTAGAATAAGCCCATTCTAGACCATCCTGTCCCAGTCAAGCCAGTGCAGGCCATTAGAACTGCCCAGCCAATTCACAAAACTGTGTGAAATAACAAATGTTGTTGTTTTAAACAATGAGTTTTCAAGATTATTTGTTACACAGCAGAAGCTATCTGATGCAGAGGGTCTCTTGTTCAGGATGGACTAAATGTATGTGTTTACCTGCATTCCTAGCAAAATCCTAAAATTCTCTACCATAAAAAGGAACCAATTAAAGGGTATAAGCCCATAAAGATATTGAGAATAGGATCAAAGACAACAGCAGTTGAGAGATGTCAACAAATTTTAAAAAGATGGAAAGTTGATAGAGGCATGACAAGTGACTCAGCTAGAGTGGAGGAAGCTACTACCTGGGTCTGGTGGAGGACTACAGCAACCCAGTAAGGCTCATACCCTGGGGGTACTGCAGAACATAGTGGTTGACTTAATGCAGGCCCTGTCTCTGCCAAAGTAGCCAAGCAGCTAGCACCAATAGTTAGCACCCTGTTCTCTCATTAAAGGAAACTAAAGATTCATTTCTTAGAGAAATTCAAGCAAATAGCATCCACACTGGGGAATCTGAGGCATAAAAAAGCATAGGAATATAGGGCTGCAAACTGGGGAATGAAGTCAAAGGTGGCATCCTAACGTGTGGGCCTCTCAGTCACTCTCCCCAGTCATACTTTATGAATAACTAGAGGTGTTCTGAATGACCACAGAAGGGCTAAACCACCACCACGAGACTCACCACCAAACAGCCAGCCAGCTGCCTGGGCCTCTAGGGCAGGGTCTTTGGTCCACTCGCTTCACCCACCTCAGAGCATCTAACTAGCTTTCTTGTGTCTCAGTTAGAGATGAACACAGAGAGGTCACCCAGGCATTTGAGGAAAAGCCTCTAACACAAAATATAGAGACTGAAAAAAGAAAAAGCCAGAAGAAGAAAAAAGGAACTCAAAGAAAAAAGGCAGAACACAGGGAAGAGAAGAAAAAATATATCATGTTTTCAGAGAGACAAGAAAGAGAAGATAATGCACCCATGAAACACACAAAGATGCTATAAAAAAGGAATACTTACAGAACAGAAAAGAGTTTTTACAAATTAAAAAATGAGAACTAAAACACAAATTTCAGTAGAATGGAATTTAAAATTGAAAATATCACCCAGAAAGTAGAACAAGGAAACAATACAATGGTCAACAGGAGAGAAAAAGAGAGAAAACAAGAGGCTCAATCCAGGGGACACCTGATTGAAAGGCAATGCAAAAGATGAAGGAAAGAGGAACAATTTATTTTTAAAAATTATTAAAAAATTTCCCAGCACAATGAATGAATATCACCTTTTTTTTTTTTAAGATTTTATTTATTTATTTGACAGAGAGAGACAAGCGACAGAGGGAATACAAGCAGGGGGAGTGGGAGAGAGAGAAGCAGGCCTTCTGCTGAGCAGGGAACCCAATGCAGGGCTCAATCCCAGGACCCCGAGATCATGACTCGAGCCGAAGGCAGACGCTTAATGACTGAGCCACCCAGGCACCCCTAAATATCATATTGTTATGAAATTTCAGAATACCAGGGATAAAGAGATCTGAAATTCTTTTCTTTTTTAAGATTTTATTTATTTATTTGACAGAGAGAGACATAGTGAGAGAGGGAACACAAGCAGGAGGAGTGCGAGAGGGAGAAGCAGGCTTCCCGCAGAGCAGGGAGCCTGATGCGGGACTCAATCCCAGGACCCTGGGATCATGACCTGAGCCGAAGGCACACGCTTAACGACTGAGCCACCCAGGCACCCCAAGAGATCTGAAATTCTTGAAGAATTTGAAACAAAACAAAACAAAACAGACTACATACAAAGAATGGGGGATAAGAATAGCATTTAACTTCTCAAAAGTAACACTGGAAGCTAGAAGATAATGTTTTTGATATTCTGAGGAAGATGACTTTCAACCCAGGATTAAACACCTCAGCAAATGATCAGCATTCACACATGGAATAAGGATAGCTCCAGACATTGCTGCCCACAAGCTCAGGAAATTAATGGAAGGTGTGCTCTGCCAAATGGAGGGGAAAAAAACAAGAAAAAGGATAAAGAGGAAAAGCCCTACAAAGGAGAATCATAAAGAAAGGCCCTGGGACAACAGCTGTCGTGTGGTAATGAAGCTGCACTGGAGTGGAGAGAGAGAAGGGAGGAAGGTCTCAGGGTAAAAACATTATCTGAATTATTGGGAGCATTCAACAGTGACCAATAGTATTCTAAAGAGTTTTAATCTATGTCTGAGTGAGGTTAGTGGAGATATAAGAGAATTAAATTTTCATCTACCACAACAGGAAATCAAAAAATAATTTTGAATCAGATGAATCAAGAACAAGCAGTAAAAAAACCCTGAGCATTTACAACTTTGGAGGCCACCAGAAAGGAGGTAAAATATTTAAAGTGGTTCACTGTCTCTAGAGGCTGGTCTGGATGAGGCAGGGCAGAACCAGGCTGCTGCTTCTTGTGAGAAGCCGTTGTTAGCATTATTTTCTTCTTCTTCTTTTTTAAGATTTTATTTTTTAAGTAATCTCTACACCCAATGTGGGGCTCAAACTCACAACCCCGAGGTCAAGAGTTGCATGTTCCACCAATTGAACCAGCCAGGCTCCCCTGTTGTTAGCATTATTTTTTAACTTTTTAAACCACCTGCATGTATTGCCTTGACAAAATAAAACTAATGCTAAAATAAAAGCTCCTAAAAAATAAAACAAAGATTTACTAACCTTTTGTCTCAGTTTATGTGTATCACTAGAAATGGATTCAATCTCATATGGCATCTCAATGGACATACTCAAAGAGAAGCTACCAAAAAAGAAGAAAAAGTTGTCTATGATCTTAAATATTAAACAAATACTTGTTGTCATTTTATATAATTTTAAGTAAAATTTGAAACCATAAAACTAATGTCCACTGGATGTCTGAAGAGGTTTTATATTTTTGGTACTAACCTTTGTTTTGTTCCTATTTTCTTTATATAAATCTTCTCTACTGTATCCTGTTAAAAGAAAAATATATATGTATAACTAAGTATCTACTAAGTTTCACAATGAGAACTCTAAGCTGAATGTAATGTTACCAAGAGCACAATCTACAGGAGCAACAAGACAGTTGGTCTCACTTCTGAGTAGTGAGACACAGAACATTTGCTCATGGAATGACAGTTAACTTCTAAAATGTAACTGATATCAGGGATAATTTATTACCAATTTAACAGAGATTTTGAACTATACATATTTCTATATGTGGGTATACACATACACATATACATCATACCTCTATATGCATATACACACACACAATTTATATAAATATGTACAAAAGGGAAACAAAGCGTTAACCAGTAGCTTTGGGCTACTATCTCTGGCAATGGAATTAAGGATTGTTTAAATTTTCCTCTTTGGTTTATTTGCACTCTTTATGCTTATCTAAATTCTTCATAATGAACATGTAATACAGACACAAAAATTTTTTAAGTGACTGAACAGAATAAAAATATTACACCTATTGAGCCTAACTGTGTCTTTATTCTTTTCATTTTACAAACATTACATGTATCTAAACGCAGAAATGTCAGTAAAATTGACTTCATGCCAGAAAGATTAGATTTTTTTTCATGTATTATTATTATTTTCTTTTTTAGAGAGGGAGAGAGACAGAAGTGGGAGAGGAGGGGAAGAGGGAGAGAGAGAATCTTAAGCAGGCTCCACGCCCAGCATGGAGCGCAACTCAGGGTTTGATCTCACAACCCTGAGAACATGGACCTGGGCCGAAATCAAGAGTCAGATGCTTAACCAAGTGGGCCACCCAGGTGCCCCTGGAAAGATTAGATTATTTTAGATATTTTTAAATTCCCTATCAATAAATCACTAAAAAAACTTCTTTAAATCTTTCTAAGCATACAAACCTGAAAGTTTTCATTCAAAACTTTGTCCTGTTGCCAGGGTGCCACGGTGGCGGGCATGAAGAAGACAGCCCTGCTGCCTTGGATGCTGAGTTCCGTGATGTAGGTAATTTTGATAAGGACCTTAGCCTTAGGGGGTAGATTTCCAACACTAACAGTAAAAACATCCTGAAATAGAAACACATTTCTCAGCTTTCTACTCAAAAGTGCATCCATTCTATGCTAGTTAATCCCTATTACATGAGCCACTTAAATTACAGTCTGCCAGACTCTTCCTCATAAAATGAGCATAGAATCTACAAGACAAATGGGCATTGGCAGCGCTAAAGGAGAACACTGCTTCCGGTCCCCAGGGGTAGGGCTGGCGTGACATCTACAGGGGGCAGAAGGAAAGGAGGCCCTTTGGGAGCAGGACCTTGCCCTGACTGGGGAGCGTCACCTCTGTCCCCTACACCAGAGGCCCTGCCTGCAGGACTCTGCTGCACAGACAGCCTCCATATAGCCCCTTCTTGAAGAACCTGTAGCCTCTCTGACCTCCACAGCACTTGGCGGCAATCCTCTCAGCAGCCTTAGAGCTAGAGCAGTTTTCACTAACCTGGTCCTCACTTTATCCCTTTATCCTGTAGTTTATTCATCATTTTATTTTTTAGGAAATGTATTTCATTTTATTTTAAAGGGGTATTATAATCACTGCATACGAAGATAAGCTCATGACTGGCTAGGGCAGAAAAAAGGGAGGCTAGATCTATTTTTTCTGATACCTACACAGAGAAACTCTTAACACCCCAAGCATATATTCCAGTCCACTTGGCTGCACTGCCATGAAACTTACTATGTTTAGGAGCATATAATACTAATGATTAATATAAATTTTAGGGGTAAATGATTACTTTTGATATCAAGGATATCCATTTGCCAGGATATCCATTTGCAAGAATATCCAATAAAGAAATGGATTCCAGTGAAGGGATAAACAATGAAGAGATGATTATTTGAACAGTTCATAGTGCTTGTCCTTAAAAGAAGTGCATAAAAGCCTGGGTCTCATTTGAGAGACTGCCACATAATAGTGTGGGGTTTCTGTGTAGGGTATAGATGCAAGATGTCACTTCTGTTACAAGCCGGATAATCTACAAAACTGTAACTTGTCTTGACCTGCCAGGAGGCTGAGTTTCAAGGCAGCCGAGTGAACTCAATTACAAAGAGTGACAAGCCCCTCTGAGGACGACGAGGCACCGGAACTGTGGGGATTCCCCTAAGGGCTCCAGTGGGCTAGCATCTCGGTGCATATGGGGGGAACTCATGTAGGTGAGGAGCGTGGGGAGCACCATTCAGTGCAAGACACATTTCTTCCAATTTTGTCCTCCTTTCTGATATAATGAGTTTTGAAATCTTAGGTGTCCCTACATAATATTCAATCACAAATCATTTTCACCTCAGTCCCTTGGATGTCTAAAGCCACTTTGCTACTCTTCTGATAGTTGGGAACATCATATATATAATATATATAGCATATGTACATTATATATATTATAAACGATAACATGATATGTAATACAGTAATATACATTATGTTTTATATATACACACGTATAATGTTGCCAAGTATAGAAGAATATCATTTTACATGTATATATATATGTATATATGTGTATGTGTGCATATATATATAAAATGTTCCCAACTATTAGCAAATAGAGAATATATAATTTATATATTAAACACATAACACATATGTAATAATATATAATATGTATATAATACATTATATAATTATATTATTAATATAATATATTTTAGAGTGAGGACATCATAGTCACTGGATGGCAAAATACATTCTGGGAGACCCAAAGGCTCTGGTTAGCAATGGTTCTGACCAGACTTTATCCATAGGTAATATCCTTTGTGAAGACTGTTTTCCTGTGGATCATTTTCCTAGGGAAATATATTAGCATCAAGGAGGAAATATGCCGACCATTTCATTTATGACAATAACCCCACACTGTTAAGCGTCAGCCTATTAAATGAACCCCAGGCTTTTATATATACACTTTGGCCAGGGGTAGCATTATTACCTGTTTAACAATGACCTCTTCCTTGCTTATTTCCATTCTGCAAATTGTTATCTTAGATGTCAAAAGCAATCATTTATCCTTTAACTCTATATTAATCTTGAGTAACTCCCCCCACCCAACATCAAATTTTCATGATGCTATGGCAATGTGCCATCCTCAGAGGTAATATCTGAAGCACGTGGCCCTGTCCTCAAAAACAACTAAATATCTACACTGGAGATAATGATTACAAACTGCATGCAATCTAGTATCTGCCAAAGGCATATTTAAAGCATCTTATATTTAAGAAAAGAAATCTAGTGGACATGATAGCTGTTCCTTCTTTCAAATTCTCCATATTTTATCCCTAGGAAAGCAATTAATCAGAAAGAAAAGAATCTGGACCTATCTCAGGACCCTGTAGAAATGTCTTCCTGGGATATGACTTGGTAAAAACTGGATAAATTGCTAGATAAGCTTAGTCCTAGGAAAAATGTATATACAGTGAACCCTTGAATGAAGGTGCTGACCCCTGTGCAGCCAAAAATCCATTTATAACTTTTGAGTCCCTAAAAATTTAACTAGTAATAGCCTACTATTGACCGAAAGCCTTACTGATAACATAAACCGTCAATTACCACACATTTTGTATGTTATATGTTATATACTAAAATCTTACAATGAAGTAAGCAGGAGAAAAGAAAACCATAAGGAAGACAAAATACATTTACAGTGCCATACTGTATTTAACGAAAAAAATCCGCCTACCAGTGTAGATCCAAAGTTCAAAACTGTGTTGCTCAAGGGCCAACTGTATATTACACTCTTTTATCAGAAGATGAAGATTATGTACCCCCAAATGTTTTCTTTTTGTTGTCACTTCTGGGAAACTCAGTTCCCAAGGACAGAAATAGGTCTTCTTATTTGTTTGGCAATACTGACACTGTTTCCTCCTACCTTTAGGTAAGTCAAACGGTTCTGACCAGTTGGACCTTCCCTTGCTAACAACAAGTTAAACTCTAGGCCTAAAATAGCAGAAATTATCCCAGCTTCTACTATGGACTTCATGTTTCAAGTCATATTCCAACTCTTTCTCCCTTCTGGTAAGTATGCTTGACTAATGGATAAATCAAGCCATACGGGTGCATCCTGATCCATCAAGTACGTGCCATGGCCTTGACTGATGGCTTCTCGGTATTCATGGTGGGCTGCTTCCTTCTCTTTAACCTGGAAAAGATTATTTTTATACCAGTCATAATATGAATAATGATTTCAGACTTTAACAAGAAAAACTTCATCAATGTTTATTAAAACCTAGGCAGAACCAGAAAACTAAGAGCCTAAGGTGAATGGAAACTTACATAAAGTGATCATTAAAATATACCTATCTGGTAAGAATTTGGATCAGAAAAGGTCAACTAAAGTGAAATCTCTTTAATTAGTTGGGACCAAAATATTTCAGAGTCAACAGTGAAAAAAAAAAGTTTGATTGGGACTTTATGTTGAACAAAAATAATAAAGTTTATACTACATTTAACAAAATATGAGTTATTATTGCAACTGTGGGCTAATCCTTAGAATAAACAAAGACTGTATCACTTATTATTTCTTTTGGTACAACTTTTCTTAAAAAGTTAACAATGGCGACTGTCGCATCAATTTGACTGTTACAGCAGTATGCAGAGGATCAGTTTTTTGCAAAACTATATAAAGGCTTTACCAATTTTCCATTGTGCCTCTCTTAAAATTTTGATATTGAAATTGCTCTGTTTCGAAATGCTAGGCAAAGAATTTACAAGGCACTGACTGATGAACACTGGACAGGTAGGGACAGAAACCAATTAATCAGGGAGGGATGTTTAAATGGAAGCCAACTATGTTTAAATGCTTGGTTCTGCAAAGAGTATTTCTGTTTTATGATAAGGCTGCTATTCAACCTTATAGCTATGGGGACTCAGGTGAGGAAGATTTGGGTAAATGGGAAACTGACCTTGAATCCAAAGAGCAGTCACAGTGCATTTTCTCCCCTTACCTCTCCTACTATGTGCTTCCCATTGATGAACGCTTCAAAACCACACACAGCTGCCTTATCATCCAAAGGAAAAATATATCTTGCCTCAATGGGCACAGAACTCTGATTGGTGTATGTCTGAAAAACAGTGACCTGAAGAAGAAAAAAAAATCCATATACTTGATGAAACAATATGGAACAACATTTGCAGGAACAACTATTAATGAAAACTATTATGTATATTTTCTTTAAATTCCTTGAATTTTTATCATGTCTCTCAAATTCCCAACCCTGGCCTCAGGAGTTAGAGCATTCTATGATTGCAATGTAGAGTCCATGTCACATTATAAAGCGTACCAGCTGCAACTTTAGGTAATTCATACATCCTTGGCTGGAATAAAAGTCACTAGTATTACAATATTACAAACACTGGCTTAACAGAAGCAATGCAGCTTTCGTTAAGAAGACAAGATAGCCTCTTTATGTGTGGGTCTTGATCCCTCCTTGGTGTCACGTGGGCCCAGACATTACTCCAGAATAGTTCTTATAACTGGTCTGTTTTCAGGTCTTGACATTTCCCTCCTTTACCTCTCTGTACATAGCCCTCCACAGCTTTTTTCATCTATCCTCATCTCTTCCTGTCGACAACTCCTGAATAAACTCTTTTCCACTCCTACCTGCTGTCTCTATTCTTACCAGATTAATTTTACCAAATGGACTCTGTTTATCACATTACTCCCTTGCTTAAGAAAAGGCCAGTCTTTAAACAATTGCAAATTTTTGAAAACCCTAGACATATAATAAACACTAACATTTTAAACATGTGGCAATAATAAGGAAAAAATATTTAGCAATTTGTCATCAATAATCTCTGGGAAAAGTGAAATGAAAAATAAAAGAATAAAGGAAACAAACTTATTCCATAATGCTGTCCACAACTGGATTTATGGTAAGCTGGGTTGCCCCTAGTGTATGTGCTGCACCAGAGAAAAATATTTTAAGGGGCATATATTTAAACAATGTGATTGTCCTCAAATCAACAGTCAGCACCCTCCAGGAGATCAAATCTCTCACAGTTCTGCAAACAAAGGCCTCACTGGCTGGTGACAGCCACCCGCTTACCAGGCTCACCCTGGAACTGGAGGCTGGCTGTGGCCCGAAAGGATCCTATAGGATCCCAGGGTTTCTTGGGTATCTGGGTGACTCTGACCCATCATAGAAGGTCAGAGAGCACCCAGCAGAGGAGCCATGTGGATTGCTGACCAGGAGGACATCACGCACGTTCCCTGTGCATAGAACTCTCTTCATTTCTCTCCTGGGTATCCAGTTTTACCAAACCCTTCAAGGGCACGTATGCTTGACCTGTAAATGCTGGATAGGATCACTGTCTAATTGTCCTTTGGTTTGGGTTCATGTTTTTATCCTGCTCTGTGGATGTCCTGCCTGCATCTAGTTAGCAGGTCTGTTCCCAGGGGTCAGGTCTATGTCAGCTTCACTCTCTCTGTATATCCCATGATATGACTGGGCACTCAGAAAGCAAGAAATTTTCGGTAATGATGACAGAAGTATTTTTACTAGGACTTAGAAGAGAAAATAATACACTGTACTAATTTTTGACATCTTAATTTTCCACCTTCAGATGAAACCACTATTTTAGTTTAGTTATTAAACTAAAAACACTAAACTCATTCCTAGAAGAGTCAAATATGTGAGCCACGAACATACAAGTCCCTGCCGCTGGGCCTCTGCTTGGATTCTCAATGACAATCTACAAGCCAGCTGTCTAATCACAAATTAGTGAAAAATTCACTGCTAAATCATGAGTTATTTATTTATTTATTTTTAAAGATCTTATTTATTTGACAGAGAGAGGCACAGCGAGAGAGGGAACGCAGCAGGGGGAGTGGGAGAGGGAGAAGCAGGCTTCACGCGGAGCAGGAAGCCCAATGCGGGGGTTCGACCCCAGGACCCTGGGATCATGACCTGAGCCGAAGGCAGACGCTTAACGACTGAGCCACCCAGGGGACCCATAAATCATGAGTTATTTTTTGGGCAAAGTTATCCATGGAAAAAGCTTCATCAGGTTTAAAATATCAAATGGTGCAAGTTGTCTAATCCAAAGTAATGTACAGAGGACGTATGGCTCTCCTTGTAACACACTCAGTTTTTTATCTACTGCATGTGAAAAAAATGCCCTATGTCCTTTATATTCATTGTATTTAATAGCCACATGCTGGCTGGCAGATATTATTATTTCCATTTTACATTTGAGGAAACGGAGGCACAAAGAAGTTAAATAATTTCCCCAAGGAAGGAGATAGAAAACAATGAGCAAGGATTCAAAACTAAGCCTCCAAACTCCAAATTCTCTGCTTTACACAATCTATCCCAGGTTGTACTACTGCATAGTGGTTAAAGAGGCTGGACTTGAGAATCAGAATGATCTGGGTTCAAATCTGTGCTTTATCATGTCATTCAATGTCTCTGCATATCAGCTTCCTCATCTAAACAATGGGCATAATCACAGCATTCACCTCATAGAGTTTTGGGGAGGATTAAATATAGCATGTGAAAAACTCAATCCAGAGCCTGACTCATTGGAAGTGGTAACCACTGTGGTCACACATCCCAAGTGGCTCCAAACAGATTAGCATAGGTCAGAACATTTACCATGAGTCCACATCACGGTCTCCCAAGGTCTATAAGGTCTCCCTGAGCTATTTAGGGATATGGGTATGGATCAGAGTGGGCCCGGGAGGCAGCAATCAGACATATGCAAACTGGTACAGATATTATGGGTAGCATGCCCTGTCCCACCCACCATACCCCATTTCCCCAGTTTAAGGTGACCACTACAATTAATCTGATTTCCCTCTGAAGAGAGGGGAATATCATAATACTGGACTCAGATGTTCTAATTTTTCTAAGAGGTCTTTAGTGGGTCAGTGTAGTCCTCAGTGTTTAGGAACCAATGAGGAGGTCAAATCTTAGAAAACAGAGAGCCTTCCCAGTATACTGGCAGCCTGCCTACACGTTTGCCCATGAACTCTCCTTTCTGTTCCATGACCGCAGCTGCACTAGCTGCATGCTTCTGGCTGAGGCCAAGCACTGCATTTGAGCATTAGCTCTCATCCTCCTCCCCCTACAGAACAGTGCATCTCCAGCAATTCCCCCCTGTGATACTGTGATTTATAATAAGAAACATATATTTTGGTCTTTGTACCTGTTTCTGGCACAGAGCTCCCCAAACCCTCAGAATTTCCTAAGTGATAAGAACAATGTAGGTGTCTTGGTGTTCATAACAGACCCCTTTCAACCACACCTGAGTTTATGTCAAAGAGGTGCCTTTTGAAAAATACCTAAGGATAGGGACTGGTTTCCAAGGGGATTATAGGGTTGGAACTGTCAGCCCCACCCTCGGACCTCAGGGGAGGGGAGAGAGGCTGGAGGTTGAGCTCACTCACTGATGGTCAATGATTTATTAATCAATCATGCCTGTGTTAACCCAAAAAGACAGGCTTCAGACAGCTTCCAGGCTGGTGAACACGTGGAGATTCAGGGCAGTGGCGTGCCTGGACCAGGCAGGGAAGCTCTGTGCCCCTTCCTACACACCTTGCCCTACACGTTTCTTCCAGCTGGCTGTTCCTCGGTTGTATTCTTCTGTAATAACTATTAATGTCGTAAGTAAAATGTTTCCCTGAGTTTTGTGAGCCACTCTAGCAAATCAGTCTAACGCAAGGAAGGAGTCTTTGGAACCTCTGATCTACAGCCGGTCAGCCTTCTAAAGGCTTTCATTTCACTCAGAAATGAGTGAATCCATTCACTCAGTACGGCCTGTGTCCTGATGTGAGCTGATCCCCACACCACCTCTTTAATCCAATCTCCTGCCATGCTTTCCCATTCTACTCTGCTGTAGCCACAGTGGCCTCCTTGATGTCCCTGACCATATCAGGCTTGCTCCCACCACAGGGTCTTTGCACATGCTGTTTTCGTTTTCGCCACCTGGAATGAGTGACCCCTAGATGTCCACACGGTTTAGTCTCCTCTAGGATACATTTTATTTATTTATCATGTGTTTTGCCTAGTCCCCCAGTAAAATGTATGCTCTACAGGGCAGTTTTTCTTTTGTTCATCGCTGTATGCCTAGACCTAGAACAGTCCCTGGTATGTAGTATGTGCTCAGTGAATTGGAAATGCATGTTTTGTTTAATTCATGCGACTATAATCAAATTGTTATTTATCTGTTTAAAGTATCATAAAACCACAAAGAACATACCTGGGCTACGAAGTCTATTATTTTTCCCTTGATGTGAACATCCTCAAGAGGAACTGAATTGCCAGAGACATCCTGCAGGCCAGACTTGATGTTGCTGAAAGGTTTGGCATCTGCTAACTGATAATCTACACATTAAAAATGATAATGTTAGCTTTAAAAACCATCCCTGCACTGTCTGCTTCTGTTACCTCAATCGTTGTTCCTTCCCCTTCCCTTCATACATTATATTTTAGGAAAAACAGACAAGCGGCATCTTATGATTTTCAATAGCCAATGCTGTAAAGTAAGTTAACCCACATGAGAAAAATGGGGGCAGCCTTCATAAGAGACACTCTGCCTTTTTAATCTAGAGACTCTGAGGATTCATCTTGAAAATGTAGAGTCACTCAATTACTTGAAAGACATACATTTAAAAACACACAAGTACACAAAAGTCTTTAAGAATTTATAAGTGTAGTTTATGCATGAATCTAGGTATCTCCATTCCCTGGCCTGTAATTTTGATTGGTCAGTCACTATTACTTATTGTGCCACAAAAGCATGTTGGACCAATATGAGACTCCTTAGACTTTCAATCCAAGGAACACTGGATCAAACTTCTAATACAGCATATGAGAAAAATGTTCCCCTTCTATACCAGGTGCTACAAAAATACACATATAATTAGAAATGTAAATATATACTCTCTTGCCAGACATTTCATTTAATGCTCCCAGAGGAAAAACAGGAGTCATTTTCTTATATGTGAAGTCATACATTTCTGACAAAAAATAATCTGATCACAGTTAAAAATGTTAATGAGTTCTTACAATGCTATTAATAAATATTATAATAGTTTGGGCTTATGATTTTCTGAGAAGCTATCATCCTCTCATATATTTCTACTACTAATATATAAGCTGCATATTACAGTTTTGGGAGTACCTTCGCTTAATGCAGATATTGATCTCATTTGCAACACAGAGAAACTGAGGCCCAAAAAGCTTATGCAGTTTGTTTCATATTGCACAGCCTAGTAAGTGGCAAGTTGATACCTGAACCTGAGCTTCCTGATTCTAAAGCTGTGTCTTCTGTCCACTTCACCAACCCCCATTACACTTTCTGTGCTTCGACATCTTAAATTGCTTCAGTGGGTTTTAGCATCGGCTGTCGGGAGGTGTACGAGCTCAACTTAGGCATATTAACGAAGTAATATGTGATTCTGAGATCACTTAAGCTCTCTTAAGTATCCTGGTTTTTACTTTTACAAAATAAAACAGGAAATGGAATATTTATATATGAAGTCATAGATACAATTACTGAACATGAGCATAAATTCGTCTAAAAATAAAATGTTGGAGTTCTATAAATACCACATAAGACAGCATTCAAGAAAACTGTCTTACCTTCAACGTTTGAAAAATTTGAAAACTCAGGTCTGTATTCCTCTACTTCAGTAGTATTACAAAGATGAAAGTCCTTTATTTCATCTCCAGATATACAAAATTTAATAATATATTTCATTTTAATCTGATTGGTTTTATATACAACAAATTCATCATCCTAGAACCAACAGAAATGATTAGGTGGAGGGAAAAACCTTTATTGGCAAATGTTCTCATAAAAGCAGAACTGCAGGGGCGCCTGAGTGGCTCAGTCGTTAAGCGTCTGCTTTCGGCTCAGGTCATGATCCCAGGGTCCTGGGATCGAGCCCCGCATCGGGCTCCCTGCTCCGCGGGAAGCCTGCTTCTCCCTCTCCCACTCCCCCTGCTTGTGTTCCCTCTCTCGCTGTCTCTCTCTGTCAAATAAATAAATAAATAAAATCTTAAAAAAAAAAAAAGCAGAATTGCAGGTTTGCTAATTTAGAAAATACTGAATTCAGGGAGTCACAGATATGCAATAATTACTTAAACTTAAGCATATTCAATAAAAACAGGAGCCTCTCTGCCTGTTTCTTGAAACAAATACCTCAAAGTCTGTGGTGACAGTGGCCGTTGCTCGCACCCCATGGACACTGTCGTAACCTGGTGGTGCTTCCGACAAGGAGAAGTCTTTTTTGTTCAAGTCCATGCACTTCCCGAGGGCTACATCACAGACGACCAAGAGCCTCGTGCCATCTGTCTCTCCTGCGTGGGAGTACTTAATACTTGTGCTGCATTGGGAAAGGAAGAAAGCACGTGTTTGTAATTCATGGTCATGGCAACAATATTTTATTATCCATTATCCATCTCTATATGTGAAACACTTTCTAAACGACTGTACTGGTAGAATGTTCCAAATTTTACTGCTATTGAAATATCTCTGAAGATTCAATTTAGAACTTTATTGTTCACTTATTTGTTTAAAACTTTAATGTGAAAAGTACATATGTTGCCTTCTGTTGTGTTAGGCAGTGCTCAAAGTACTTTCTTCCAGGGGTGGATGAATTCCACCGTTTCCCCAAATCTTTATTAATTACTAAAACACATATTTTGGTATGGTAAACACCAAAGTGATGAAAGAGAAGGAAAATTCCCCACTTTTTTAATTAAGCAAATAGATTACTCCTCTGCACTGAAGCTCAGAGAGAACATGAAATAGCAGGTAAATAAGAACTGCTCAAAGGGAAAGATGGGCACTGTATTTCTCACAAAGGCTTCTGAATCCAAATGGAGAAGCAAAAATTTCAAATGACATCTAAGTGAGAGATTTTGTTTTGACTTTCTTCAGGGCTCAGCAGCTTTAAAAAAGCAACTTTTGCAATTAAGGAGCATAGGCTAGGACACCTTCGGGAGCAACATTTTTGGGACAGACCTCTATTTTTCCAAATCAAGACCCAAATGTAAAAGTGTTTGTTCTATCCCCTCTAAGACTTGCCCCCTTTTATTTATAAAAAATATTTTATTTTTAATTTTAATTTTTTTTATTATGTTGTTAATCACCATACATTACTTCATTAGTTTTTGATGTAGTGTTCCATGATTCATTGTTTGCGTATAACACCCAGTGCTCCATGCAGTACGTGCTGTCTTTAATACCCATCACCAGGCCAACCCATCCCCCCATCCCCCTCCCCTCTAGAACCCTCAGTTTGTTTCTCAGAGTCCATAGTCTCTCATGGTTCGTCTCCCCCTCCGATTTCCCCCCCTTCATTTTTCCCTTCCTGCTATCTTCTTCTTCTTTTTTTATTAAACATATATTTTAATGTATTATTTGTTTCAGAGGTACAGGTCTGTGATTCAACAGTCTTACACAATTCACAGCGCTCACCATAGCACACACCCTCCCCAGTGTCTATCACCCAGCCACTCCATCCCTCCCACCCTCCACCACTCCAGCAACCCTCAGTTTGTTTCCTGAGGTTAAGAATTCCTCATATCAGTGAGATCATATGATACATGTCTTTCTCTGCTTGACTTATTTCGCTCAGCATAAAAATATTTTATTTTTAAGTAATCTTTACACCAACACGGGGCTTGAACTTAGAACTCTGAGATCAAGAGCTGCGCGCTCACTAACTGAGCCAGCCAGGTGTCCCAAGACTTGCCCCCTTTAAAAAAAATAACCAATTTCCCCCATTCCTCCTATAAACTTCCCTCCATGTGACCCTTGACTCTGTTCCAACTTCCTCCCTCTCCATCCCCTGCCTTTCTCAATGGCTGCCTCTACCTGCTTGCTTGCCCATCACCCCTCAGCCCGCTGCAGTTTGGCTTCTCCACTGAAACCACTTTGTCCAAAGTCACCAAGGACTTCAATTTGGTTAAATTCAATGGAATGCCAATTTATTAAAAAAAAAAAAATCTTGACATCTAAAAAAGTCTACTTTGAAATATTTTGTACATAGGAAAGAGCATTTATACTATAAATGTTAAGTTTCAAGAATGATAAGACAAACAACCACATGGCTACTGCCTAATTTAAGAAATAAACATCATCAAGACTTCTATGTTGCCCTGTGGCATCACCTTCCTTGCCACCCAGAGGTAATCTAATCGCTATCTTGGTTTTTTGGTGTATATTATTTTTTCTTTCTTTTATAGTATTTTTTCCCTCTATTTTCTTTTTTTTAATTATGTTATGTTAATCACCATACATTACATCATTAGTTTTTGATGTAGTGTTCCATGATTCATTGTTTGTGCATAACACCCAGTGCTCCATTCAGTACATGCCCTCTTTAATACCCATCACAAGGCTAACCCATCCCCCTACCTTCCTCCCCTCTAGAACCCTCAGTTTGTTTCTCAGAGTCCATAGGCTCTCATGGTTGTTTCAGAGGTACAGGTCTGTGATTCAACAGTCTTACACATATGATATATGTCTTTCTCTGATTGACTTATTTTGCTCAGCATAATACCCTCCAGTTCCAACCATGTCATTGCAAATGGCAAGATTTCATTCCTTTTGATGGCTGCATAATATTCCATTGTATATACATACCACATCTTCTTTATCCATTCATCTGTCGATGGACATCTTGGTTCTTTCCATAGTTTGGCTATTGTGGACATTGCTGCTATAAACATCGGGGTGCACGTACCCCTTCAGATCCCTACATTTGTATCTTTGGGGTAAATACCCAGTAGTGCAATTGCTGGATCGTATGGTAGCTCTATTTTCAACTTTTTGAGGAACCTCCATACTGTTTTCCAGAGTGACTGCACCAGCTTGCATTCCCACCAACAGTGTAGGAGGGGTCCCCTTTCTCCGCATCCTCGCCAACATCTGTCGTTTCCTGACTTGTTAATTTTAGCCATTCTGACTGGTGTGAGGTTTTGATTTGGATTTCCCTGATGCCGAGTGGTGTTGAGGACTTTTTCATGTGTCTGTTGGCCATTTGGATGTCTTCTTTGGAAAAATGTCTGTTCATGTCTTCTGCCCATTCTTGACTGGATCATTTGTTCTTTGGGTGTTGAGTTTAAGAAGTTCTTTATAGATTTTGGATACTAGGCCTTTATCTGATAGGTCATTTGCAAATATCTTCTCCCATCCTTTTGGTTGTCTTTTGGTTTTGTTGACTGTTTCTTTTGCTGTGCAAAAGCCTTTTATCTTGATGAAGTCCCAATAGTTCATTTTTGCCCTTGCTTCCCTTGCCTTTGGCTATGTTTCTAGGAAGAAGTTGCTGCGGCTGAGGTCGAAGAGGTTGCTGCCTGTGTTCTCCTTTAGGATTTTGATGGACTCCTGTCTCACATTGAGTTCTTTCAACCATTTGGAGTCTATTTTTGTGTGTGGTGTAAGGAAATGGTCCAGTTTCATTCTTCTGCATGTGGCTGTCCAATTTTCCCAGCACCATTTGTTGAGGAGACTTTTTTCTATTGGACATTCTTTCCTGCTTTGTCAAAGATTAGTTGACCATAGAGTTGAGGGTCCATTTCTGGGCCCTCTATTCTGTTCCATTGATCTATGTGTCTGTTTTTGGGCCAGTACCATACTGTCTTGATGATGACAGCTTTGTAATAGAGCTTGAAGTCTGGAATTGTGATGCCCCCAGCTTTCCTTTTCTTTTTCAACATTCCTCTGGCTATTCAGGGTCTTTTCGGGTTCCATAGAAATTTTAATTTAGATTATTTGCTCCATTTCTTTGAAAAAAGTGGATGGTATTTTGATGGGGTTTGCTTTGAATGTGTAGATTGCTCTAGGTAGCATTGACATCTTCACAATATTTGTTCTTCCAGTCCATGAGCATGGAATGTTTTTCCATTTCTTTGTGTCTTCCTCAATTTCTTTCATGAGTATTTTATAGTTTTCTGAGGACAGATTCTTTGCCTCTTTGGTTAGATTTATTCCTAGGTATCTTATGGTTTTTTGGTACAATTGTAAATGGGATCGATTCCATTAATTTCTCTTTCTTCAGTCACATTGTTAGTGTACAGAAATGCAACTGATTTCTGCGCATTGATTTTATATTTGCTTGTGTTTGAACTTTGCATACATATAGAATCACATTGCAATGTTTTGCTCCACATTATGTTCCTGGAGCTCATCCATTAGACATGTGTAGCTGTAGTACACTGGTCAAAACTGCCATATAGCACTCCATGTAGAACTACACCAAAATTTTTTGATCCATTCCACTGTCAATGGACATCAGTATTACAGTTTTCTTGGCCATTCCTGTACATGTCTCCTGGTCTATGTCTACTTACTAGGGTAGTGATTCTCAACCCAGGCTGCATATTATAATCATCCAGGGAGCTTAAAAAACTATTGATACCCAAACCTCACTCTTGGAGATCCTGATTTAATTGATCTGGGGTGAAATCAGCACCAGTAATATTTAAAAGCTCCTCCAGGTGGGGAGGTGGGGGGGGATGGGGGAAATAGGTGATGGGGATCAAGGAGTGCACTTGTGATGAGCACCCAGTGCTGCACTGAAGTGTTGAATCACTATATTGTACACCTGAAACTAATATTATACTGTACTAACTGGAATTGGAATAAAAAACTAAAAAAAATCCTTCAAGTTAAAACAGTGTCCTCCAGGTGATTCCAATGTGTAGCCAGGATTGAGAACCACTGCTTCTTGGTTCATAGGCCAGCTAATCTATAGGATTCCTGAGTCATACTATCAACTATGCTCTTCAACTATAGCAGATGATGCCAAAATTTTCTCACGAGGGCTTATAATTTTTTAGTCCTAACAACAGGGTGTCAGAGTTCAGACTGTTCTAGAGACTCACCAACACCTAGAGATGTTAAACTTTTTTTTCTGATAGGTGTAAAATGGCATACTATAGTTCAATTTGCATGTTGTTGATTACTAATCTTTTCAAATGTCATTGTCTATACATGTTTTCTCTTCTGTTAGGTTCCTGCTCATGTCTTTTGTCCATTTGCTTATTGAGCTCTTTATTTTTTTCTTACTGATTTGTAGGAATTCTTTAAATATCCTGGATAATTACCTTTTGTCCTGGGTCTGAACCCAGGCTCCATCCTATAGCTCTGCGACCTTATGCAAGTTACTTATCCTCTATCAGTCTGTTTCTTTTTCATAAAATGATGTCACAATATCACTTGTGAGGTTTATAGACAATATACATGAAGCACATAGCCTGGTGCTTCACACAGGGCAGGTGTTCAATACCTTTTTTTTTTAAAGATTTTATTTATTCACTTGTTAGAGAGAGAGAGAGAGAGAGCACAAGCAGGGGGAGTGGCAGGCAGAGGGAGAAGCAGACTCCCTGCTGAGCAAGGAGCCCAACATGGAACTCGATCCCAAGACCCTGGGACCATGACCCGAGCTGAAGGCAGACACCCAACAGACTGAGCCACCCAGGCATCCCAAGGTGTTCAATACATTGTGGCTATTATGAAGACAGATTTAAGTATTAACAAGGATATTGACCATGAAATATTATTCCAGGCCTACAGAGTTTATTTACAATAGATAAGTTGTTTTGAGAAGAGGTCCTGTGCTGTAGAAGTTAAGATCACTGGTCCTGGAGAAAGACAAAATGCTGTGTGACCTTAGGCAAGATACCCTCAGTGTCACTCAGTATTCTTTGTGATATGGGATAATAACAGAACTGACCTGAGAGGGTTGTTGTAAGGATTAAATGGGTAAAAGAAATGTAAAGACCCTCAGGATAGTAAAATCACTAAGATGATTTGAAATTTTCCCAAATCTCCGCTTCAAAAGACATGTTTCTATAGTATACTGAGAAAACCGGTTGCTTTCAATGATCTGTTACTCGGGTGAGAAATCCCTCACAAAGGAAAGATGGAGGAAACCATGTAGCAACTACTTGGTAATAAATCCTTGATGATGGGTGTAACAGGATTAACGATATAATGTATAGTATATATAATACACTAACCTGAGTGAATCACTGAAATATATTCCACTCCCAAGATTTCCAATGTCTGTTCTCTTTGTGCCACGATCTTCAACTACTTTGGGTAAAAGCAACCCACTAAAAAGAAAAAGACATTACAGTGATTTACTAGAAGAAAGGTATCTTTTATTGTAGCCTCAGAATTCTAGCAGAGACAGGTATTATTTAAGGACATGCTAAATGAAATAAGCCAGGCACAGAAAGACAAATACTGCACAACCTCACATATATGGGGAATCTAGCAAAGTCCACCTCATAGAACCAGAGTGCAGAATGGTGGTTTCTAGGGACCGGGGGTTGGAGAAAATGGGGAGATGTTGGCTAAAGGGTATACTAACTTTCAATTTTAAGATAAATAAGATAAATAAAACTCTTTGCTAAGAGCAGATCTTGTGTTCTTACCACAAGAAGAAAAAAGATAACTCTGTGAAGTGATGGATGTGTTAATTACCTTGACTGTGGTAATCATTTCACAAAGTACATGTACATTAAGTCATCATGTTATACACCTCTAAAAAATCACCTCGTACAACCTAAATATATAAAATTCTTATTTGTCAATCATACCTTAATAAAGCTGGGAAAAAATACACCAATTAAAAGACTATAAGTAAATAAAGAGCATGAAATGAAAGGCAAAATGTCCAGGTGCTGTTCAAATATACCAAGCTATGGCCATTTCTCATCACTGTTTTGGTCAGCCCTGAGATGCTGGCCATTTTTCCTGCCTCAGGGCTCTGTCTCCTACCTGTCAAGGCCCCCAGCACTCAATAGAACCATGTTTAAGCCCAATGCTGACTGCATTTCTTTCTGGCTCAAGAACTTATGCAGGTTTCTACTGGCCTTCTAGCTTTGCTAAGAACTCTCTGCAATCAAAGTTAAACCATGGTTATCTCTGGAAAGGTGGATAAAAGGAGACTTCTGCTTTTATTACATAAATATCTACTGTTTGAATTTTGCATTATGAAATGTAATTAATTTTGTAAAATGGTTTTTGGGTTTTAGTCCTACTTAAAGTTTATTTAAAAAAATTTTTTAGGGGTGCCTGGGTGGCTCAGTCGTTAAGCGTCTGCCTTCGGCTCAGGTCATGATCCCAGAGTCCTGGGATCAAGACCCACACTGGGCTCCCTGCTCAGTGGGAAGCCTGCTTCTCCCTCTCCCGCTCCCCCTGCTTGTGTTCCCTCTCTCACTTTGTCTCTCTCTGTCAAATAAATAA